TCATGTTCCTTTGTTTTGGGTTAGTTATGATTAATTTAGGTTAATTATTTTTTATAAATAGGATGTCAACTGTAGGACCAGCATGCATCTGGGTGGGCGTATGTTTTTTTTACTTATGTTGTGGCACAGCTTTGATGACACAATAATTGGAAATCCACAAAGGCCACAGATGACTTATTTTACGCAGGCAAAAGAAAAAAATGTTCCTGGTAAACTCCTTTAGTTTTCTCAGTTTTTTTTCCCCAGTGCAAGAGAAACATGGGGGAAATGTTTGTCTTTTTTTTTTTTTGTTTGCTTGCCTCAGGAAAAAATTAACTGAGAAAACTAAAGGAGTTTACCAGGAACATTTTTTCTTTAGCCTGCATAAAATAAGTCCACGGTGCATCTGTGGCCTTTGTGGATCTCCACTTTTTTTGTGTCATCAAAGCTGCACCACAACACTGAGAGGAATCTTTACCTTGGCTTGATCCAGAGTCTTCATCACCGCCTCCATCCTGCTTCATCTTCTCAGCTTTAGCAGGCTTCTGAGAGCAAAGCCGGTTCCTGCTTGGTTCCAGTCCTTTGTGGATCTTTTTAAACGACTCCAGTTGTTCATCCTCATAACTGATCCCCAAATCCTCCTCTTCATCCTTAATCTGTGAGGGCTCTGCCTCCTCCTCCTCTTCCTCCTTCACATGCACACCTTCTGGGTCTGCCTCCTTCTTTAAATTAAAAGGTTCTGGTTCACAGACTTCCTCCTTTACCTGAACAAGTTCTGGATCTTCCACTTCTTCCTTTACCTTCAGATGCTCTGCTTCCTCTTCTTCCTTTATCCCCACAGGATATTCTTCCACCAGACCTTCCATCATATGCATCACTTCTTCAGGTCCAAACTCGACTCTGGATTTTGAATTCTTGAGGGAAAACAGAGCAAAGCAAATATTTATTCACTGTTATTTACTGTATAAGAGCCTCGAACTCAACACTATTTCTGTTAATTTAATTGAAAAAGCTTCCTGGATGGGAAGCAAAATGCCTTCGAACTTGGAAACAAAGTCCAGTGGATTTTTTTTAACCTTTTTGGGAAAGCTTGGTTGTTTATTCTAACAGAACCAAGCCGAACACTGGATCTAAAAAATGAGGAATGAACGTTTGCTAAAGGCTACAGTTGGCTGTAGCCTCTAGTTAGCAGCATCCACTGTCAAACAATAAACAGGAGACTCCTGTCTACTTCATGTCGGTTCATTTAAGCAAGAAAGTCGAAATAATAAAGCCAAGCAGCGACAAACCCAAACTCCCCTGATATGTTTTGCATCACTGCTGGTCGCATACCTGCGCCCTGGAGGCCAGTTCGGGTTTTCGGGTCAGCGAAGCTAAAAATAACCCTCCTCCTCGTATTGGACGATTGTTAGTTTAAAGTCCAAAGATATTCTCATCATAACCAACAGTCAGTTTCTCAGGGACCCACATATTTAGCTCACACAGCAAAGCAAAACAGAGGATGAAGCCCAGCACCGATCCACTTCCGGTAGTAGAAGGAAACATTGGCTGTATTTAGCGCCACCTAATGGTCTGGAGGTTTAGACTCTCAGAGAAACAACTGTATGACGTTTGATTTGATATTCAAAGATTAGGTCAGACAAGCAGGCAGGTTATATAGCAGCAAAGCAAATGGGCAAATTAAGCAAATAGTTACTAACAAGGCAGAAAACATGTATGTTATAAAATAGTGCTTTCAATAACTGGATACTGTAAACTGCTTACTGTAAACAGGAAAGCTCAAAATGGAGGAATTTGTTTTTCTGGAGTTTTAAAAAAAGCTTGATCTTAATTCAGTGAATTTAAACCAGATTTTACTCAGCTGACAGCAGAGATGCTTATTGATTTAGAAAAAGTATTTACTAAAACTACTCCTAAAATAGCAGAATGTGACTTATTATGATCAAGGTATGCCCTCATTTATACCACTATAACACTCCACCTGAAGAGTTTTTTTTTTTAATCCCTGACCTCTTATACTGAAAACAGAAAAAATTTATCAATTCTATTAATGGCAAAGTACAGTGTTATAACTTTTTACACAATATACCTTTTTAGACCAATTAAACCTGTAGTCAGCCTCCTCTGTTTTTTGTTTTTTTTTTGTAAAGGCACGGCAAGGCAAGGCAAATTTATTTGTATAGCACAATTCAGTACAAAGAAAATGCAAAGTGCCTTACATGATTAAAATATAAGAAAATAAAACAGAATCAAAGCAAGTAGGAAAATAAATAAAAATAAATATGCAGAAAAAAATAATATTAAAAACAGTTGGACTAAAGAAAATAAAAAAATTTGAACTAATGATATTTCAGTTGAACTGTTTAACTAGAACAGTCGAAGGCAATCCTAAACAAATGTGTTTTTAGTCTTTATTTAAAGGAACTCAGGCTTTCCGAACTTTTACAGTTTTCTGGAAGTTTGTTCCAGATAAGTGGAGCATAGGAACTA